CAACTAACCTTCCTCTTGCCTTTCAATGGACAAGTCTTCAGCCAGCAGTCAGTTTTTACCATCTCTTGGACATTCTTCACAGAAATTTGAGACATCCACAAATGCTAAGAAATATTATTATTTGATGCCTTTATTTAGAGTTGATGCATCAGCAGATGAAGCCTAGAAACAAATCTGCAGGACCCTAAGAAACAATCCTAATCTCTCCTAATTCAGAGAGTGGAATCCTATCAGTTTTGAAGTCCTGTGGGTAAGGATTTGTACCAGCTTTAGGCAGGGTGAAAATTTGGGTTTGTTTTTAATTTACATTGCTTAAACTTTGTTTCTCAAAAATCCTTTTAGATTCTGTTGATAGCCTGTATTTTGTGGTGGCAACATCACATGAAAACCAGACATTTATTCCTTGTGGGTTTCCCCTGCCCCCACCTGATTTAGGAAGAACAGCAGTATGGGTTTTTTTGATTTATATGGAAAGAGGAAACCACCCTGGGCAAAAAAGTCTACAGTCAGCAGAAGCAGCACTTTGTCTTCAAAGACTTAGACACAAGGCTCCCAAATGATTTATGTTTCTAACTCACATTTTTCTTGCAGATGTGATTACAAAAGAGAATATGAAGAGGAAATTATTTTTAAAAAACTGTTAGAAATGTATGTATGTCTTTTCATAGCAAGGCATGAAACAACAGAAACCAATTTTCTGTGTGGTTTTAAAAGAATAAAGTCAACAATTACAAACTCAGATACCAAAGTGTTGTCATATACCTTGTCACAAAACTAGATATTCTGCTTTCCTAGAAAGTTACAATACTTGCTCAACCTGAAAAAAAACAAACCCATGAGCAATTTATTACATAGCTACATATTAACATAAATTGGTAAAGTCAGGCTCTACACTTGAAAATTGACAAATACTGTCAAATATCACAACATTTAGTTTGCATTGCTTTTAGCTATGGAGTATCACATATTTTAAGTAATTTTAGAATACCCAGAATGGCTGTGGCACCCAGGTCCTCATTTCCTAGTCTTCTGCAATACCTTTGGAACTAGACAGGAAGACTTCCAGTCTTCAATCATTATTTGAATTTGGATAAACAAAATGAGATTGGCATGGGAGAGAGTCTGTTTTGGATTTTAAACACATCTTTTTCATGCATATATAAAGGACAAGAAAGAGTTTTAAATTACCACACGCAAGCCAGACATGAAATGATGAAATTAATTTGAACAATCATCCGTGAGCATCTGTGATAAACCATGACATCAGGTTTCTCCCTCCTCTCTCAATCACAAGGTATACAATTGCCTTAGAAAACACTGTTGTCAAAGGAGCAACAAGCTTTAACATCAGGATCTTTCATTTCAGAAAGCTCTTCTAGACTTGTTTCCTAAGTACTTGAACTGAGTTCAGCCCCAACTGTATTCAGGTGCTGAGAGACACAAAGAAGCTGGGATTTGAAAGCACATTCACACATCTGCCTGTACCTCTGACTACTTACAAGGTTTTCCACTTTGTCTTCAAAAGCTGCCTCTGGCCTTGTAATTCACTCTTTTCTCGAACATTCCCGGCTGGGTGAGTTGGGGAGGAAGGAGTATAGAACCAAAGATAGACATAAGCTTACTGCAAAGCTTTGCTCAATAAAACCTGTTGATTGCAGCCTGATTCTTATCTTGGCAGGCACTTTTCCTGCACAAAGTTTAAAAAAGAAAAAATATCCCCCCCCAAGTTAAATATCCTCACCAGATACATGGGGTAAATGTATGCAAACTGTCAGCAGCACACACGAGCTAAGGCAGCACTACACGGGATTGCTGTCCCCACACACAGGACAGGGACCTCCACTGCCACCGGGCTCTCAGAGGTGACCCTGAGTAAACACCAAATTTGATAAACTCCATACTGGAGTGTGATCTCATGCCCCACAACAATACCTGCACGATAAGACTTGCCCTTTTGAAGGCTTGTGAAGTAACAAAAACTAGCACACTATCTCATAGAGCCAGCTGAGAAAAAGGAGAGACTGAACACACTCATACATTATTTTTCCACACACTTAGGGGATAAAAAAATAAAAGGACACTGACAAAGAATGTTTGCTGGTGTGGGGAGGGCACTGACATGTTCTTGTTTTGCTCTGTTTTAAGGGGAAAACTCTCTGTCTTATGAAAAAAACTCTCGAAAACCTTGTTGAAAAGTTTTGTGGAAAACATTTACAGCCATTTTTGCTGAAAGTAAAACTCAGGTTTCCAACCATCTCTCTAAAGTAGTCTTTAGTATTAACAGATGTCTCGTTGAAATCTGCCTGAGCGAGTGGACTCATTCTGAATGGACACAAAAAAAAGTGCAGCATTTTTGCTCCACATAATCTGAATATTAAGTTGCTTTCTCTGATACTTTATGGATTTGACTTCTTTTATGCAATTATTATTTTATCTTCAAGAAGCAAAGACCTCAAATGCAGAGCACACGACCCTCCCAGTCAATGTAATTTTCTTTTCCAGATCTACAGCTTAACTGTAAATAGTACTGGAGCAAAGAGCGGGAAGTAGGTATTTGGTCTGGGTTATAAATAGGAGACATTTCATTTGGTAGTGTACAGATCTTGCTTATAATAGCAGCAGCCTTGATGGCTGCAGCTTTGAGTTCATTAATTCAGTCAGGAGAAGGCACTGAAAATCCAAAGCAGATAATTAGGCCAGAGATAGCCATCATAGCTGTTAATTTAAGCAATTACTGCAATATATAGTGGTTTATATTTCTGCCCGTGCCTCTGTTCTTTACAGACTGTCTTCACAGATATAAATACACCCCCCTCCTTCCATACTGACTGCTTTGCACGATGTTTGCCTGTATTTACATCCATTGTTTCACCCTGCTGTGAGGCAGTCTTGACAAAGCCAGCCTGTAACTGCACAAGTCTCTAGCATTCCTTCTCCTCTTGCCAATTCTCCAAGTCATACAACATTTTTAAAGTTATTAAATTCTAAATAAAGGAGATTAAGGATTCCAAATTCTGTGCTAAAACCAACAATCAATAATTGTCAAGACTATAATAGTGCCTTTAGGCCCTCCAGGCCATTATTCTCTACACTAGTTTTTCTCTTTTTTTTTTGGTGAAGAGACAGTTTATAATATTTTCCAGTAACTGCTGCATCAAACTCAGAGTTCTAGTAGAGTCAGAGCATTCAAATTATCACACCAAATTAGGTCTGTTTCTTTTTCAAAACTGAAGGAGGTTTTTCATTATTAATACTGAAACTATGTTTGAAATAACACATGCATGTATACAGCACAGTAGTGAATAATTTCTTAAAACAGAGGAATGCAATACCTATATACTTGAACTATAACCACAATTCCCATGAATCACTATTTTAACTTATTTTGTTCCCAGATTTTAATTTCTTTCAATAGGAAGATTATTCTCTGTGCAATTATTTTGACAATCATATTTATAACAAAAGGTTAATGTCCATGTGGAGCAAATGTGAGAATAGATTCAGGATCAGCCTTATAAGTGTGCAGAAAATGGGCAGAGAATGTTTATCACAGTATTTTCCATTTTTATGAGGATGCAGTTGGTTATTATGACAAGGTGAAAGGTCTCAAAGCCTTCATTTTTAGGCCACAGGTGTTCTTTGTAGAGGTTTTTTTAATAAAGAGTATTATTAGTCCTTTAAATTAGCTCTTATTGAAAGTTACCACATCTGCGTTATGTGGTAATGAAGCTGGGGGAGGAGGTCATAGCAGGGGACTTGTGCTTCAAGAAAACATCTGGGTATTGCTTTGACATTCACTAGCAACTTCTTTTATTTTATTAAAAAGTAAGGAAATTATACTGAAATCAATTTCAAGATGCAAACAATAAATGAAATGAAAATACAGGATCTGAAAAACAAAATTGGTTGGAACAAAAACCACCTTTCCCTTTTCTTGCTCCCCTCTCACAAATTCCAACTGCTGAGATTAATTACATGGGCAAATGGCAGCATTGGTTAAAAAATGATTCAACCAATACCTACCACATGCACTACAGTCATTAATTTCAGAGGAGGAGCTACTGTCATTTTAAATAAAGCTTTTTGTTGCATTGCAACTTTTTCTGGCTGCCATTCTATTTACTACATCATTTCAGAGACAGGTACAGTGACCTTAGGAAGTCCTCTATATAGGCACTTTTTTCCTCCACTTCCCCCGGCTGATAAAAACAGAGAGCCTTTGTTTCCTGTGCACAATTACACCTATCACTTCCATTCACAAGAGCTAGGAAAAGTCTATTTTCAACAAAAGGGGGATTTAAAAGCCATCAAAATCCTCAAGTTGAAGCTGCTGAGTAATTGCATGATGGTTCATAATCGTCAAGGCTGATAACTACATATTTAGGAACTACTGCATTAAGAAACTTGGCAGGGTCAGATGATGTTCAGCTCCCTAGCACACAGCCAGGGATGTTTATAGGGCAGTGGTTATAGTATGCCTCAGAAATCCTAAACAGCAGCATGCCAATGCTCACTGTATTTTCTTGCTGTAAGTCGTTGCTTACAAATGCAAATATTTCTGGTCTACTCAAGCTCTTACACCACTCTCAGCACTGCAGTAACTGAGGGTCTTCCTGTACCACAGCAATGGGTTCATCATTTGTTTCCTTAGGCAGGGAAGCACAAGGGTATCAATCCACCGTTTTAATGCCAGTTTTCTGTTCTTACAAATCTTGGCTTTAATATTAAGAACTTTTCATTGACACCTTCAGCACAGTGTATACCCCCTGCAAACTTTAAACATATCTGGTCACAAAGTCCATGCAAGTTCTAAGGGCCTCTAAATATATTTGGTTATAGCTGTAGGAAATTATTACAGACGAGCTACACTCCAGCTTGTCTCTCCCCTCCAAAATCACAACAGCTGCCAACAAAGTTCACAATACTGTATAACAACATGCTCCAGAAAAAAAGCATTCCATGTGAATGTGACATGCAAATATTAAGACAGGACACCAGACTTCTTTTCTTTCCCCTTCCCAATGGGTGTTTTATTTTATAGCATTTGCATTAGGTAATCAACTGAAACACTTAAACAACAGAAAGCTGGCAGCACAGTGAGGAAAAATGGAGATAATTTCTCAAACAGCTGTGACAAAATTGTTTCAAGTTGGAATAGTATTGCACAAATGAATCAATTTACGGAGGGTGAGTGGGAGCAAGCATCTTCAACATGGATTGTGAGGAAAAAAGGCACTATTTAGCTGTGTGTGTGTTTAAAAAGAAAAAGGTCATGAAGCACAATCCATGTTTTTCAAAATTACATTCAGTACTGCTTTAGAAATGCTCACAAACCTGTCTCTTTTGCAGAAGCTACGGAAAGCTGCTGATGTAAGTATCAGACAGTGCAAGTGTACGAACATTTATAATTATGCTCCAGAAAAGTCTCAGGAAGAGAGGCTCTTTCTATAAATACTGCTGCAAAGGTTACACAGTTGCATAGGCTTACAGTAAAGGAAGCATCCATCCAACTAAGCAGCCTTAAACTTTCTTAAATTTTAATCTCTAGTAGTCATAAAATATGCTCTAATTTTGAAGAGCTAGATTGGCAGTGCACTTCAATTAGGCTTTCCCATTGACTGCTTAAGCAGCATGGTTCAGACAGTATCATCCACACACCTTTTTGTCACATACACCTCTAAGTATACACATGCACATTAAGCCAGGTAAGCTTAATGGAAAATTTTAACAGAAGTGTAAAAGAAAATAACTGAATTTTTCCCAATGTAAGATAGAATTACTGTGAGATCATCAATAAGCAAGTTTATTCCTGTAATGTAAAAATAGCTAGGTATCTTCAGAAAAACTCAATACCCAGAAAAGGCATTTCAAATGACCAGGATGGGCTGGTTCTCCATCTCACATATTGTATAGCTATAAATTTTAATGTGTGTTTGAAAATGAAGCCATGATCAGCATACCAATAAAAGACTGCTAGAAAATCCACCCAGAACAAGCAGGAATGTGCACAGAGGACATTCAGCACCCTAGCCTTGGGTCTGCTTGTAGATGCACTAAGAATAAAAATGTGAAATTCTTGTTGTGTAGCTGCAGAATTATTAAGGGAAGGAGCTAAAACCACTGCTGCTGTCCCACCAGCACAGCCCAGAGTATCACAAGTGCCCTGGGCATGCTCTGGGTATGGCTGTGCAGTCACCAGCACAGCAGGACCTCGTGCTGACATCAAGCATTTCAACAGGGCTAGAGTTTGGCACAAAATCTGGGCATACTTTTGTACAAAAAGTACAGAACAGTATCACAAAATCTACTTTCAACTGTATGTAGATATATGAGCATTTCAACACTGTTCAAATGAACTTAGCCCTGCAAAAAGCCAATCTCACTCCTCTACAGAGGATACAGTGACTTCAGTTAAAAGATGTTCAGGAGGCTGCATAGTAGTTTACTGATCATACAACCTGCAAAAACAAATTCACATATTGCTGCTTTCCTGTATGAGTCATTAAGGGAAAATGAGATAAATCATAGTTATATATCGTAGAATATTTTTAATGGCAACAACTTGGATTGTTTTTATTTTCAAACAGAAGAATAGAATAGATTATTTAAAATCTGTAAAATTATTTTCCCAAACTGTCTTTTAGGAAATCCAAGTTGACAGTTCTAAATTCAAATTATTCTAAGTTCACAGTTGACTTTAATGGATACACTACACATAAAAGCAGACAGTCTTAGTTCCTCCTGTGTTCTACAGATGATCACATTTTCTGAGTACATCTGGAATAAGTACCACTCCAATTGTTGCTAGCATTTCTAAAAAATATCCCTAAAATTCTTATCTCAACCTTGAGAATTCACAGCAAAGAACAGGAAGTGATATCTGATTAAATAAAATATGTTATCTTACATGAACTATGAAAAATATATTGCCCTTTTAAAAGTAAAAAATTTGCATTGTTCTATTGGCTTTGTTATTGGAGACTCGTAATTAAGAAATTCTAAATCCTGGAAGAAAAAAAAGAAACATAACTTTCAAAACTGCTTAAAGAATAGAAGAAGTTTCTGTAGACCCTACTGAAATCAGTAGAAGTTTTGTCTATTGTTTTCTCGTCAATAGAGAAGCATTTGTCTACATACCTATTTCATTACTTAGATGAATATTTTACATTTTCACTTAGCAAGCTCTTCAGCTCTCTTAGAGGTACTCTGCTGAAAATTCTGAAGAAGACTGAAGAAGGTAAACTTATCTGAATTATTCTGAAAGAGAACAACATAGTAAAAAAAACCCATCTAACAAAGCTATCACTGAGCGGAAATCTTTCCTGGGATTATAAATATTTATGTTACTTAAAAAAAAAGTGTCTGCTTTTCAATGAAAACTTTTAGATCTCCATTAACTACTTTTTGTGTATGACTCCTCAGTTCCTTTCATGAGCTAGGAAACATGTCTTCATGTGTGACCCAACACATCCTATATCCAAACATGTTGGCATTATTATTGATGTCAACAGACAAGAACTAGAACAGGAAGTTTTAGCATGGTTCATGCTATATAAATGGTAACTTATGAGAAGGAACTTCCCTGATTATTTGGGAAGAACAAAGGGAGATCTATTTTTAAAATCAGAAGGGAAAAATCTAAGAAAACAAAGAAACTGAAAGATGTACTTGATAGTCTCTCATTATCCTCTTTGTAATTGGGCTGTTGCTTTTGGCTGCAGACATCCAGTTCACAGACCATTTTCCATTTCCTTTGTTTTCATTACAAGAACAAGTTGGTTAAAAAAACTCCACTTGGTAATTTTAAACTAAACCTTCAGCATCATACCTTAAGAATTTAAACCTTTCCCACCATTCTTTTCTTTTCATTCTTTTCTCCTCAATGCCTTCCCAATCAAATCCTATGAAAAGCACTTTTAAAAAAAGGCAGGTGTAAGTTGTGTAAATACTTGTATCTTTAAGAAAATTCAATAGGAAAAATTCTTGCAGTGCTCCACTGTCATTTGCTATGATGCAGTGGCCCCAAACATCTGTTCTAAAATTTCAATTGACTTCATCTGCCAGGTGTTTCACATTGTTAATAATGGCAACTCACAAATTTACAACAGTCACGTAAGGCAGTTACAGAAATATAATTATGTCAATCAAGTTCACTGCATCTTTCCCAGCCAGACTGCACATGACATTTTTCTTCTTGTTCTCTTACCCTAATAAAAGGATGAAGACTACATTGGTGTAAGGAGAATCCCTGGAAAACATTCTGGTATTGAAGTGAGAGAGGTCACTGAAGTGTGTTGCAGCAATGTCCAACAGTTAACGCAACCAGGAAGTAAATGTGATGTTTTTCACTTCACACATAACAGAACCGGTGCAAAAAACCCCACTTTAAACTAGTTACTTTAAACCTTTTGGTCCAAATACATAAAATAAGCAGTATTTACAGCATTTTACTCCTTTTGTAAATGCAATGCTTTAAAACACGTTATAAAGCACCTCAGTAAAAATATTCTACAGATAAAAGTATTGAAGTAGTAGGAAAACCCTAGCCATACCACAGCTCACTAGTAGAGTCATAATATGGATTCACCAATACCTCAGTTTACAATTATTACAAAGAATCCATGGAGAAACTTACTTAAGAATTTACAATTTTTATACCACTGTGTAAGGATCAACTAGAACTGCAGACAATACCAAATTTCTTTGTAGTTTTCCCAACTTCAGTCAGTGGTGATGATTAAAAAAAATGAAAAGAAAAACCCCATCGCTCTGTTTAACTTTTTACAATATTAATGTGAAAATGACATTTTAACACTAATGAGTAGTTTTAATTTTTTAATAAAACCACATTTATAAATATGGGCAATTCCAGCAGCAGCAGCATTTCTCAGCAGAACATGATTAGCCATCCCAATTAATATCATGTGACATGATACACAAAAACAAAGAACAGATGTCAACCAGTTATTAGGACTACTCATACTGTATACAACCAAAATTTCCATTTTGAAAGCTGGGGGAAATTATTTCCTCTTCACAGAAGTATAAATGAAAATAAATTGCTCTGAAAATTAAAAAGAGCATCAACAGAAGTGGTTTTTTGATTGTTTGTATTTTCAAATAGAACTGCCGTGGATTAATTGCTCTGAATTACAGTGTCGATTTCTTCAGGTTAAGGATATTGACTCCCATTGAAAGTATTAGATATAAGAAATGAAGCCTTTGCTTCTGGATTACCAACACAGCTATATCCAAAGCCCTGGAGGTGATCCACAACCCACTTTCCTCATATAAAGAAATGTCTTGGAGGTCTACAAGCAATCTAGTTTCCATGGCTGAGGACTAAGATGATGATGTGACCAAAGATTTAGGTCCATAAATCTAACAGTATAGCATTCTTAGTTTGATTTAGGGTAAATCTTTTCATAGAAAAAGTTCTGAGCCAGAATATACAATTCTCCATCTTTTTCCCGAACTGCATGTGCTCTGACAAACTGAAATTGCTCCAGTGCAAATTCATAGAACTCATTCTCCATTTTCCAGATTTCAGACTGCTGTAGCTTGGCAATAGTTTCTTTTGTGGGAAGTTTTTTCTCAGTTGTTTTCCTAAGATGCGACTTCTTTCCTAAATGCAAAATGAAAGCAATAACTTCACTTTCAAGTTAATGTGCTCAAAAAATGTTTACAGTCCTTTGTTATTTACAGAATTTTTATACTCTCAGTGTTGATAAACTGCATTAGAAGGAGCAGTGTTTAATCCAAAATTTATTAACACAACATGCAGAGTTGGAAAACTGCAGCCTCTCTAACTAAATGTTTATGAATTTTGCATCCATTCTTTCAATTCTTCCTGTTTGGTCTAATAAACCTAGGGAATCAACATTCATTTAAGAAATAAGATTACTCCATATAATCTACCTGGAGCAAAACTGGTCTTTCAAAATTAATTATTTAGATGTTAATCTGGTATCAAATGTTAAAAATTTTAGAAACTGCAGAGAGATTTCTTTCATAGAATCAGAGAAACATTTAGGTTGGAAAAGACTTTTAAGGTCATTGAGTCCAACCACAAACCTAACATTGCCAAGTCCCATTCAGCCATGTCCCCGAGTGCCAAACCTACACGTTTTTTAAATACCTCCACCACTTCTTTTAAATACCTCCAGGGAGGGTTATATTCAACTCAGACTACCAAAATTCCCCCTGTTCTTGTGTAGCTCTCTGTAGCTCTCCATAAAAGAGAAAAAAAAAAAAATCTTGTTTTCATGTGATTTCAACTATTTCTAATCAAAATATAATCTCTACTAATAGCATTTAAACCATTATTCTCCAATCTAAATAGGATAGTATAGTCTTATCATAAATTATACATAAGCCACATCCCTGTTGCACAGAGTTTCTAAGACAAAGACGACCAAAATGATGACCAGATTTTCCCCACGGAGTGCTGCCGCTTTGTAATTAACTTGTTAATACTACATATCTAGGCTCCATACATCAGATCATTTTTTCCCTCTATTTGCAGAGGAAGCCCTGTTAAGATAGATCTTTTCTTCATCATAAATTGCATGGCCAGCTCCTAGAAACTGAGCTACTTGTTGTAGCTAGGAGCCCAGGGAGATAAACATCTACTTGGGTCTCTGCATCCCTTAGGCTTTACTGCTCAGCCAACCAGGCTGCATTGAGCACAGTTAATTCCAGCAGGGCTTCTGAGGAAATGGAAGTCTGCCACATTAGCCACTTTACAAAACTGAAGCCACTGCAGAACCTTACAAAAATATTCTGTTGCAAACACATGACAATGTTACATGCAGTATACCTACACACCTGCCTTTACCTCAACCTTAAATATTTACAAGTTGTGTAAGGCAGAAGGATACTTGGACCACCTAACCCCGAGACATGGAAGGAGAGAGAGAGAGAGAGAGAAAGAGAGAGAGAGAGAAAAAGAGAGAGAGAGAGAAAGAGAGAGAGAGAGAGAAAGAGAGAGAGAGAGAGAGAAAGAGAAAGAGAGATGCTTTATAGGAGCATCATCCAGCTGAGAGACAAACCTGGCAGAGGCTCAAAACTATTTATGTAGATCTAAAGAATTCCCACTAAAAAAGGCAGTAAGTGGATGAAAAATCCATGGAAACAAAGTATTTAAATACCTGTCCGGTACAGTTCTGTGGCACCCCTGAAGAACCGGGGCAAAGCTGCCTCCAATAACATGATAAAGTCTTCAAGCTCTTCAGTAACTCCCACTAGGAAGTATTCATTAATCAGATTGTATTTGGCTTGTTCCAAAGCCCATCTGCTTCCCACATTCCTAAAATGACATAGAACAATTATAGCAAGTTCTGATGTCAGCCAACAATCCTTGGTCCCTAGATGGAGATTACTTCACAACAGGACATTTGTATATTCCAAGTTATAACTGTTCCTAACTTCATTTCCCTTTCCCGTTTCTCTCATCTGTGTTCTTACCTAAAAATGTGACTCCTCTACTTAGAAAAGAGTCTCAACAAAAATACCTGGGGGGTGTGTATGCAGATATGCTTAATGCCTCAATTCAAGCAATTTTTTGAGGATTTACATTGTCTCAGTATTAATACTCTGTCTCCACTTTCACATTAGATACCTGAAATCTGGCAAGAACACGCCTTCCCTTTTGCACCTTCTTTCTTTCGCTGCTTCTCCACATGGCCAGAGAGAAGACAGGTCTGAACAACAGGCACTGAAAGAGGAGCTCCCAAGTATTTGCTTGTGTTTGAATGAACAATACCTTTGACAAATAATTGCCTTTGATACCACTCAGAATCTTTCAAATAATCTACGGGTATTTTTGCTTTTTTTTTTCTCCTAAAGAGTTTTTAAAAGTCTTTTCCATTGTTATAAAATATGTTGCATTGACAGATGGACACTATATGCTTTTGTTTCTGTTTCTGCTAAGTAGCATTGACTACTGGATATCTGGTAAAGATTTAAAAAGATAAATTTATCCTGATGTCAATTATTGTGTACTCCCCAGGAACTTTAGAAGTTTGAACTAAAACATCTCCATTCCAAAAGAAGGATACTGTAATCTGACATAAGAGAAAAATGTCAAGACTCTAAATCTACAAAAATTATTTTTAAAATTGAAAACATATGTTTTCCCTCACAGCACCACTGATACAGTATTGTAACTTACTGCTAGTTTAAAGAACTGCAAAACTTTTTCAGTAAATCCATTCAACAGAAAACACATTACTGAAGAATCCACTGCTTCACTCTGCCCAGTCCCCCACACTTTTGTCAACTGGACTACATATTGAAAAATTTGTTCAAGGTTATATTTCAGCACTGATGTACTTGAAAAACAAGCTACATTTATGTCCCTACCAGCATTCTGAGCTGTGGCCACAGAAGAATGGAATTTGAAGCCAAAGTTTCTCTGGAGCACAGTCGGAACCTCCAGCTGCCACACATTCATCAAAGGTCTGGAACAAAGACAAAATTGAGCTGAGCTTTAAAATCTCATATATGTATCAAACATCTCAAACTGATTAGTTGCTAAATGTAGTAGGGATAGAAAAACACATATATGATTTTCTAGAAAAAAAAATTCAAGCCTTGCTTTCACAGTGTTATTAGGATGATCTATTGTCTCAACTAAATAGTACTTGAACAATCTTTTATGGTTACAGCTAATGAACAATTGATCTTACCTGATAAACTGATACAGCTTTGATATAACTTTAGCAAAGACTTTTTGTCAAAACTAGCAAAAATAGCCAGTCAGTTAGTATAACTGTTTTCCCATATAAAAGAAGTCACTAAAGATACAGCATCAAATGCCATCAGGAATTGTGCAATCCTGCAACAGTTGGATCTTTGTAACACAGAACATTGTGCATTTTGTGTTTTAGATTAAACAAGGTTCTATTACATTTTAATTATGACAAATAACTGCCATTTCAGAGGCTAATATTGTTTTGGCAATCAGAAGAAATGAAACGAAGTTGTTCAGGGCCTAACAGAATATTCCATACAATATTGCTCTCTATGAGCATACACAGCTGTAGTAACAGAGTTACAATAGGAACTCCATTAGCACTGGAAGGAATTTGTAAATGCTTTACTGTGTCACCATAAAGGAAGTACTTATGATATTTCTAATCAAGATGTAAGGCCTGTATCTAGGATATATTAAAAAACATCACAGAGACAATTTTTTAGATTGTTTCTTCAGCATAATTACAAGTTTCTGTTCAAAGCAACCATGTAAAAACGCATTTGTGTAATTATTTGGGGTTAAGAAAAAAGACAACACAATTTGCTTCTATTTTGAGGTGAAGTTTATGAGATAATCTGAAAAAACTATTGACACTATGCCAAAGCAGGGAGTAAACTGTGGTGCCTTGATTCATATTGAACTCTGAGTTTAGAATAGCTTGTACATATCACACATCATAGATAAAAATGCAGCTTAAGTAGGAAAACAAGACATTGGTATGCTTGCCCTAGCATAGTTCTCTAGGGAAATTCTGCACTGATCCATTGTTAAATACATCTCTTAAATTATGAATGTTTATGCTAAAAATGAACTGGTGTCTGTGCAAAGAAAGATTTCTTTGCTTATACCTGCAGGTTATTTTACAGTTAATAAGCAAAAGGAAGCAAGCCGTTTTCTAAGTAAGCTGAAATAGGACAGACTTCCTTCCACACTTCCTCTTATGCACCTACCTTGGCTGCTCCATCCAGAGATTTTATTATAAGAAACCCTTGCCCCTACAGACTCTACATTTGGAGCCAAGCTATCTATGACTTGTGTCTATGACACAGGGATCCAGAAAACAATCTAGTTAAGAATTCTTCTATATAAATGCTGAGGTATGGACTAGAAGGGGACAAGAGTATAAAGTACATTGAGATTCCTTTCCACTAATAAAGGAACAATTGATTCCACTGGCTGGCCTTCCTTACTTTTCATTTGAAGAGCTTTTCATGAATCTACTGTAACACATACTAGAATAAAGACACTGCAATTGGCTCAATCCATTTCTGAGCTTACTGAATTTTATAACTAATGTATGCAAAACTTGCATCATTTATACACTGACAGTTCCCCAGGGACACTTTAGAAGAATAGTACTACGTGATTTACATGAAAGAAGCCAGAAGCTTGATATAGTAAATCTATTTCACTTCAAATGAACTTGACATGCTTACAGAACATGTTAAATCTGTATAACAACTAAGTCTCTCAGACCTAAATAAAGTGGATTCATAGTGACAAAATGCAAAAAGCGTCTTCAAAAGAAAACATAAAATTAATAATGCAATGCATTTTAAGCATTATAAACAAGAATGCATTTGACCTTTTTCCCAGCAAATCAAAGCTTACAGTGAGTCTTACCAAGCAGCAACACTAAGGATTTTTGGCATGTTTCCCAGTGACTACCTAACCAGGTTGTTTGGATTATAATTCAAAATTAAAATAAACACTGATGAATTTCACTCTTTTTAGTAAGTTTTATGTCCTAGAAACAGCTCAGACTTGATAGCATGCTCAGCTTTCCAAGTGACTGATCTCCAGCAGGGAAGAGGAAGACAGGCTACAAAAGATGAGATGCTATCTCTCTTTCTAAAAATGTCTTAGTGATATCAAATCACATCACCTGTTCATCTGTTTAGCCAGTTCTATAAAGAAAATTTTAAAGTTTAATTTCAATTTATTCTTGAAGCTCTCCTCTTTCTATGCTGCTGTGCTGCAGGATACCTGGACAAACTGAAATGCAGCGGCTGAAGATGGCGCTAAACCCTAAATAACAGAGGAGCAGTTAGTTCCCAGCTGGAAAGAAAAGAGGAATGGTTTGCTCCCAATACTTAAAAAGCACTATTTGGATGGGCAGCACAAAATGATTACTCATGTTTATTAGTTGTTATGGTGTTTATAGGCTAAGCTGTATTTAGTGTGACTTTTGCTCATTTTTTCTATGTCTCTTAGTACGCACACAACACTACACGAGATTGTCAACGTCACAGAAAAACATCAGATGAAGAAAATATCGTCACTGGAACTGTATCAAGTGTTTGGCTCTGTAAAGTATAAAAATTCATTACATTTTATAGGATTCCACACTGTTCTCGCTACAGTAAACCATACTCGTGTATTTAATACCCTGCTTTTCTTCCCAATATAAGAAAAATCCAAACCAACATGCCTGAAAAACATCATACTGCAAACCATGACAGTGGAACAAATCCATTATGACACCTGAATGATGTTGCCATCCTAAAATTGTATTAGTAGTCAATGTTTGAATGTGCTAACCTGAACTTGTCTACAGACAAAAGGAGGAAGCACAGAAATTTACGTATGATACTCCACAGTTTCCAAAGACATTGCAATACTTACGTTTTTTAAAAACAGACTAAATTAGATTGCTAATTACATGAAAATAAACGACAAAGCCAAAGCATCAGCAGTTCTACAGCTTTTGCTGCGAAAATGTGTCCCAGTCCTCAAGATGTAGCCTTCTTACATAGGAGGATAAGCCTAATTTTCTAATTCAGGATACATAATAACAATTTAAAAAATATTTTATTTAATTTTTTAAACAAATTGCAATGTACAGTGAATTTACAAGGATACAAAGAATTACTAATATCATGCTCTGCTCCAGTATGGACAGGAAATGAAGACTATAACTTAAAAATCCACCATTATCACGAAGGCTGATAAAAGAATGATTTGGCTTTCATCAGAGCATTTAAAAATTGTTTTCACATTAATTGTAGTAAGTTCAGCACATATTATTGGGTGTACTTTACCTTTTTATCCCCCTGTTTTCGCCTCCGTAGCCCTGGTCTGTAATCATCTCCAAAGCGCAGAAAGTAATAATAAGAAACTAGGCGTTCTATAGGATCTCTTATGACATTTATGTAAATTGGTTTCTTTTTAACACCAAATCTAAAGTAAAAGAGGAGAAAACATCTTTCAATGGACAAATCAAAGCTTCTCATCTAATATGCAAAAAGCCTGCCTTTATTGCTATACCTGAAATCTATACACAGAATATATGATACTGAGAGGAAGTTAAATGATCATTTCTTTTCATCCTCATATCCAGTGCATTACATGGATGTGAAAGTAAGTAAGTTCAATTTCAGCCTGCCCAAGATTATGATTTAAAGGGTTTATTATTAAAGAAACAAACAAAATAGACCTATTGTCACAAAATAGATATTAAAAACGTTTACACAATCATCTTGACTCTACAAATGCCTTAACTAGTTTAGCAGCTACATACATGTTTATAATAAGTACAAGGAAGTTTGCTATTGAGTTCCTGTCCTTGTGAACTGGGCTTTGCAATGCTATGAGTGGTTTTCCTGGCAGGTCTCCAGTTGTCAGAGACATTAACAGCAGGAAGACAGAGCTCAGAGCCCATCCACTGCCTGGGTTAAATGCATACAGCTATGCTTATTAAATATAAGCCTAAGATAGTATCAGTAACCATATTAACTTCACTATCTAAAGATATTAAATTTTTCCTTAGATATTTACCCTAAGCAAATTTTGATGTACTCCAGTACAAACAGAAGCCTGATTAAATGACGTGGTAAGCTCATACGACACAGGAGAGAAATTTAAACCACCAAACTGTTTTGTGAAAACACCACCTTTTCAGTGATCTGTGTTCAAGTCATCTTTTATAATACATTACTCAGCTTTTTCTTTTCCATTTGAGACATGCTGTGGTAAATAATTATGGTATCCAAATATTAAGGAGTTTATATCACAATGGAAATTGTGATAGTCAAGTGTGTCACACAAAAGTGTGTCAAGTGCTCTGAAGTAAAGCCAGAAGCTGGAAAAAAAAGTTCTCTTTATGTTCGTATTCGAAGTGGGAAAGAGTTCTGCATGGAAAGAGGGCCATTCATGCCTTCCTAGCTTGGCTAAAACAGAGCACTCAGTCTTAAGATGCAGTACTATGATTTTTAAAGGGGTAAATTTTACTACTAGGTACTGTGCATATGAAAAACATTGAAAAGCTGAAGAACAGAAATGTAGCAAAAGCAGCAGAAAGGAGGAAGTTAGGGAAAAAAAACAACAATTAACAGGCATTGCTTTTGCCAAAAACAAGCACTATAGACAGAGAAGTTGTTAAAGACTACAGAAAGAGCAATTGATTGTCCAGTGCTGCCAGTAGAGTACCAATGAGTCAGACTGGAGCACTCAAAGGCAGAATTGCTGACATCTGTCTGCATGCCAGCCCTGACGTCCCGGAGTCTGCTGAGTGGAGGGTGTGAATGTTTCAGCCATTCTGATGCAAAGTCCAGGCTTTGAACTGCACCCTCTTTAAGGTCCACTGAAGGGACATGCACGTGTCCCTTCCACAGATTACAGCAGTGTTGGGAAAGCCGTAACAAACCATTTCCGTACAGCAGCAGCCCCAGCCAATGAACAGCACATATCCGTGGGTTAAATGAAAACGTCCAAGTCCTTAGAAACGCTTGTGCTGGATTGTACAATCGCCTGCATTTGCATACGAGCTTGCAGAAATAGTTTCAGTTACAGTAACATAAGCCTACTAGTAACATAAGTTATTACTGTAACTCTAATAATAATGATAATGAATTGACAATTGCATTATCAAAGAACTTTTTTTCCCAACTACTTACCAGAGAAAATAGGGAATAAGAGTGGATAAAAAAATTTAGAAGACAAAAAACAGGGAAAAAATTTAATTTCTACATGGATAGATTACAATAACCTGCCCTCAATACTGTGCGTTATCAATGGAATCTAGTACTTTAATTTTCAGCATATTTTAAGAGGTACTTCCGATATTTCACAGTGGACCTAAGTCTAGTGTCCATGTATAAGGAAGCATTGACTCTTCTGAAATATTTTACACTTTTTAACTACAAGAATGTTCATTACAAGAACATACCTCACAGCCTTAAAGGTGTGGGCCTTGCCAAGCACAACCAGCGTATTCAAGATATTATTCTAATAATGAAAACTCAAAGTATGAGAAAGCAAGCTGTTGTGGGGGAAAAAAAAATTAAAAAAAATCACTCAGGTGAAAGGATAACAAACAACAAAGACAAGGATAACACAGTCCCAGAGGGAAGATGTAGATGAAAGAAATCTGTAAAGTTGCTTAGATGCTTTCTAGATGTAAAATATTTTAGTTTTAGGAGTTCCAGTATCTGAACGTGTTTTCAGCTTCATGAACTAATGTATAAAATAACATTCAGCTTTGCTACACCAGAAAGCTGTTACTCATTTCAAGCGTTTATTAATGTTGAAGCATTTTAATTTAATTGGCATAAAGTACACTAATGAATTTTGATATATTTCATTTGATTAACTGATTTGTACGTAACTTCTTTTGCCTGTTACTTTTTGTAAACTTGGTGCTACTGGTCATTTTCAGCTACTCCTGTAGCTTTTAGCATTTTCTGATAACGTACTTCTCACTTCCCCATCTCATTTTTGCAATAAAAAGCTCAAATTAAAAATCAGCGTATATGACGGAATGAATAATTAAAAGAAATGACTAAACGAAAGCAATTACTACACACAGAAAAGAATTTAAATACTTTAATGCACAGAAACATAAAAACACTGAGGAGTGACCGTCAGCAAGAGGTAAAAGTAGCAGATTTTTGTCGACTGCACTATCATTTGTGCAGTCAAATGTAATGAGATCTGAAAACTCCACTTCCAATTTTAAATCATTTTTCACATGCTCCAACTGCAATATGAACCACTGCCTAGTAAGCATCTTAAGCAAAACTGACTTGTCAGTTCAAGGGGAGGTTCCTAAGACTGAGCTACTGAGGATCGCAGCTTTAGATCCAGAAGCAAAAATAAGACAAGAAAAGAAACATATGATAGTAGGAATAAAGATATGATCCTGAATCTTTGAAGTCAGTGGGAGGATTTTTATGATATTTTATTTAATTTTAGAAGAAGCAGCATTTAACTCCACAAGAATTATTTCAATGCTTTTTCTAGCAAGTCAAACAATCATACACCAGAAAACTACTTCAAAATATAACTTTTCATATTTTGATAAAGTGTAATGGGATAGTAAGGTAGAGAAGAATTACATAACTTAAGAGCAGGTGGTGTTACTCTTTATACGAAGCACTTTTGGGAACAGGTATATTAAACTTGCCCAAATGGGAAGCCAATCCTAAAACAGAACTGCCAGTGTATCAGAGAAAAGCCATGATTTTCAGCAAAACAAGCTCCGAACTTAGACAAGGAGTAGTAATCCCAGCACATATGTTGTTTTTTCTGACTGAGACCCGGCTAGATTTTATCACGCAAGAAAGGGTGAAGATCCCCCCCAGACGCGGGCGGCCTTTCCGCACGCTGCAGTTGCCAGGCCCGAGCGCTAGAGGGCGCCGGCAGCCCGGCCGGAGCCCAGCCGCGCTCCGCAGGCGCCGCCACCCGAACGTACTTGGCGAAGTCCAGGTACGAGACATGGCCATGGTAAAAGCCCGGCTTCATCTCCTTCCAGGAAGTCACATTCTTCACAAATCGGACCTGTGGAAGTGGGCAACAAAAAGTGTTTCTGTACGGCTCATTACATTTCCCCATACACGGTGTGTTTACCGGCTTTTAATCTTGTAATGCATTAGAAAAAGTCTATTTTGATTATTATAAAAAAATTTGTGCCACCTAAAATAGACTTTTCTGCAGCATATAGACGATTGATTTTAGATCATTAGAATTTAATTATCAGAAACTAAACAAAAGCACAACACAACAATCAGAAGGACAGTTCAAGGAAAGCTACCACAAAAATATCAGCAAGGCAAATATTTACATTTTTGTCAGTCCATTTTATTTGTAATTGGAAAAGAATGAAGAATTCTTTCAGTAGAAATACAAGTGCGTATTTGATAGAATTGTCTGATGGGTATTCAGTCCCTCAAATAAAAGTGTACCAGATCTACAGTGTTCTTAGACCTATTTTACTGGGACATAAGAAATGAATCCGACTGTTGATTTGCTGCTCCATCCCAAAATGCAATGCACAAGTAATCCTGAAATGTTATAAATGCATGTAATGTAAATCAGATCTATAGTTTGCTATTCTGAATAGTCATCTTGAGCCTAACATTTCAGTGAAACTTTCACACTAAAGCATGAAGTAGCCATTAAATGAGGGCTGATAGAGCAGTTACTGGCAAACTCCACAAAAATAGGAATAGCTTTACATTTCAAAAAACAAAATGAGACATATGCCCCAAACCAGAGTGTGTGATCAAATTAAGTGGGACATGCAAATTCTGATAGAGCTTGGCTTTACTAGAAGAACAGAATATTTTAACATCAAAGCATGTAACTGAAAGTTATTCCAAAACTAGTGAATTGGATAATAAAGAGAGGATGATAAATTTGTACTGCCTGAGCTGTCTGACAGAGATAGGCCATTTCTGAGGCTGTGAATTAAAGGACAGTGTTCTCTGCACATTTACAGTATCTTTTCTGTTATACAAAGAAACAGATAACCACAAAGATTCTGAAGTGAGACAAGAGAGACAAAAAAAGGAAAGTTTGAGAGCTAAAGACAACACACTAACTAACATTCTGTAAGGTCAAGTGGCTTGAGAGTGTCCTGAAGCATAATATTTACTACTTGTTATAACCTACCAACTGGAGATTTTAAGAGGCGAGATTGGCCTGCTGCTGTTTCTTCAATTGTGCAAAACTCATGGTCTACAATTTAAGAGGTTGGTAACCTGTACTTATTTCTCTAAACACTGGCTCTTGGACTCCCAGATAACAGATATTTATATTAATAGTAAATCTTAATAAGTTTTTCAGTGTACAAGTTTCAGTCTCTGCTCTGGCAGTACAAAATTGGAAGCATTTATTGCGTATGAAAATGGTGGCAAATCTAGCTGAAAAGCACTGCACAATGTTCCACAATGGTGTTTCATAAACTGCATTGGCTGTCTGGTTTTGTCCATAGCACAAGCTGTTAATATGGGACTTTGAATCCAGTTGAACTACCTTTACTGCTACTGAAATAAACCACACTCCCATTGACTGTATCTTTCCAAGATTAATGACAAGATATTTTCAGTGGAAAGCCTCAGCTATAAATGTTTCTTTACCTGGCAAAGATCCTTCCTAAATACAAAATATATATCACCTTTCCTTCCTTTACCCACAAACCCCAAAATGTCATGGTTGGTTGATACAACTCTGCAAGAAAAGCAGTTAGGCTATTTAGGCTGTGCAGTGCAGTCTACATATTAAAGTGCACGTTTATGCTTCCATGAATAAGTTTTTTGAAATCTTACATCATCTAGATTTCAGTTTCTAATAGACTAGGACTAGACATAAGTAACGTTAAGTACAAAATCTCAACTTTTTTTTTTTTAGAACCCCATGAAAACATCTGGCATCAAATTATAGATGTTTCAGTAACAGTTACAAAAATCCTTTATTGCCTTTGTCCTACAGTGTTGTCTGCCATGGAAATAATTGTTATGAATGTAGGGTGGATACTCTAGCCTCTAACACCAGCCGAGCTAAGAGAAGGCTAGGAAGGTTTGATAACAAACCTGTGACATGTACATCTGTCTTAAGATGGACCTGCAACATGCTGAGCCCCAGAGAACTAGAGTTTTTAACACCTAGAACTAGCCTGCAGGCAAGAGATTTTTTTCCCCCCCACAATTTGCAGCATTCCAAAAGCCAGAATTGTTCCAGGTCACGACAGCCTAATGAGTCTGGATTCACACATTTTAGGTCAGAGATGAATATTGCTCACTGCTTCATGCTGTTAAATATGATCAATTTTACCTTTCTTTTCAGGGCTTAGCAGGTACTGAAGCTTTCAAGAGACAGAGCAAGCTTCTCCATCTGAGCCCAATTGAATACAATTTGAGGTGACTTTAAAAGTTCAGATAGACGTGAATGGAATTCCTGTGAAGTTGTTTCATGGTGCTTTTATATCATCAGCTACAAAGTTGCTTCACAGCCTTTAGTAAGTGGGAAATGAGCTGAGGTTCACTGAATTAAAAAAAGCCTGATCAAACGTACTCTAGGGGTATAAGATGTCCTGAAAGGTATGTTAAACACATTCAGTTTCTAGGACAGTAGGAATTTAAAACAAGTCCCAGTGAGCCAAAAGGAGGAAAAACCCAGCCAGCATACTTGGTGTGAGAACAAGCCATGTGTGCAAACTAAAGTGATGCTGTAAGTTCTTATCTCTGTCCATTAACTGCAACCATCAGCCTCTCTCTTCTCTACAGTCTGACTACACACACTCACATGAACTCACGTACACTCAGACACACACCCAGCCACACTCACAATCACACACACGTGTGTTCGAGTGTCTGAGGGTGCATGTGACTGCTTGTGTCTCTGTGAGTGTGTCCGAGTGTGCAAGAGTGTGGGAATGAGTTAGTGTGCAAGAATGTGTCTGAGTGAGCTCTGAATCAGGTAGTCAGGAATGCTGGAAACAAGCAAGCAGCACATCTTTGGCTGCATGCCATGAACAACCACAAGCAAGCTCAAGGCAAGGACGGTTGAGAAAAGCAATTTTGTGAGATGGTGGAAAGATTGAGCTCACCAGTTCAGCCACAGTACAGCCAGGATACCTGCCTTGCACTAATAGTTCTTTCTCAGAAGGAAAGATACAACTGGCACACATGCAGCACTCGTACTCAGTAGATCATCTAACTCCAAAAGAAAAATTCTTCAATGTTCATGGGCGTGTGACAGTACTTCCACTCCTAACAGAACTGCTGCAGCCTTTTCACTTGTTCCACTTCTGACTCACTTTCAGCCCCTGAAACCTGCACTAGAGCAGAGGAAGTAAGTATCACTAAAGCCACTATGACTGTTCTGTCCTCTGAGAGACCAACTGTTTTAGAATGCAGTTGGAAGCAAGATGGTATTTTCATGCTGCTCTTTTGAGAAAAATTGAGAGAGAAACTGAAGGAGAAAAAACCTTAGAAACAGAAAACAGCAAGCTGAGGGATTAAAACACTGGATAACTGTAGCATTCATGACAGTATAGAGAATGTTCTCACACCCACTTTTTAAATAATGTATCAAGAATACATGCTGTAATGGAGAACAATCATTTAATTTTAAACGTTTTAGATGACAACTTCACCATGTAACAAAACCAATGAAGCTTGTGTGGCTGGTATGCCATCCTGATAGCCATAACACAGCATTCCCGTATGGACAGTGTGTCACTGCTGACATATGCAAGCAGCAAAGAACTCAATCAAACAACTACTCCGAATTCATTAGGAAAAGCAAGTGTTTCTACTACAGACCACACAGGTCAGAAATGCAATACGGGCAACATGGCACTCAGCTTGCTGCAAAGAAAACGCCCAGCCTGGGGAAAGAGGGGCAGCTCCCAGGATCCTGCTGACAAAGATGCTGAAAAGGAAAGGAGGGCTGCTGGGACAAGTTACACCTGAAACTAAAATGGGTGTTAGGAACTCTTATCGAATTATCTCAAACCAGATACAGACTATATTCAGAATGGATTTTAAATATAATTCTTTTCATATTGCATTCAAGAAGTAAAGGTTTCACATATGGGCAGAGAACTTAAAATCTGTTACGGAATTACAGTAGTTTGGAAAGAGTACAGGAGAAAAACTGCACAAAAGAACGCTCACTAATTTACAAATTTCTGCCAGGCCCAAAGCAATCTTCACCTTGCTTAGGGAGATTAGCTTTAACAAACACTATCAATGACAGAACAATTTCGTCTCTATGATATGCTTATGTATTTTACTACTGGAACATATACACCTAATGCACTCAAATGAGCTATTCTGGTGAAGGTGGCATATGAATAGGTCATGCGAATCCAAGCCCACACAGAGTAAACATCATCAGCTACCACTCAGCACCCCTGCCATCTCTAGAATTATGCACTATTACTTACAGTGGCAAGCTGTTATCTCCATGTATTAAAGATGAATAATTATTTCTGCATCTTTGAACAACTATGCAATATATGAAGTTCATTGTCAGCATCTCCCAGTTTATGGCCACCAAAGAAGAACAGTATCAAGTGTCTAATTAAACTACATAATTTGCCACCTTGGACAAGAGCATAGTATCAAATGAAGGTAGGACTGACAGTATTGTGTACATGCTCAGCACAGACGGCTTTTCATTTTTCAATAGATTATTATTAGAGGAAAGATGAGGAGTCTTCTCTTCTATAAAACTAAGCCAGCAAAGAACAAATTTTATTTGAATTAAGTTCAAACAGAAGTAGAAATTTAAGATAGTGTTTAATTTACACCTATTCAAAGACTAGCTCTCCTATCCTTCAGGACAGACCTCCATTTCAAGAGACACCTTGGCAGAAACAGAATTTAGTGGGAAGCGCAGCACTAGGTACGACTGACTTGAGCACGATTTTTAATTAACAAATATAGACTTATTAAATCTTTTGAAATATCACTCTGCTCTTCGTGCACAGCTCTTTCGTACTTGTTCTATGCAGTGGGCAGGACCATAGTGATGGCTACCAGACTTTATCATCGCAATAATCATGTATGACAGTATCACCTTCATATGTAGGAAACCATTTTACAGGAGGAAATACTCAACAGTAACACAACCGCACTATCACAAAACAGATTCTGGTATTATTATTTCCTCTGCACAGAGATCCCTACCTCAACCTTTCCCCCACATACAGAACTGGAAGTGGAGGGCCTTGAGCATCTGCTTCTCCCTGCCCCAGTCGAGCTGGCTGAGCTGCTTCTGCCCATAGACAGACACTCAGAGGAGCTGGAAGGCTCAGTGCTGACATGCTGCAATGCAGAGCAGCTCCTGCCTCTGCTGCATATCAACTTCAGCGATCAGCACACAACCGGCAGTAAAGAGACCCGAAACATTCGTTTTACAGGCAGGCATGATGACAGCGATGGTTCAGATCTCTAACCTGGATTCTCTGCAAGTTCACTCATGACAGCCAAGGAAATATTTAAGAAAATAAACCAATAAAGCTACTTCTTCACCTCAGCCTAACAAAGAAACAGCACTGAACCCTCACCATATTTTTAAAATACTCTTTTTTAAATACAGTAGACATGATCATTTCTAGTCTGGTACTACAGTGATTTTAGTGAGAACTTTTAAAGGAAGCAAAGTGACCCATCCTTTGCAGTGCAAGCTATTTACAATCACTTTTCTGTATGTTTTTTATCACCTGTGAGACCTGACCAGTCCCAGTACCAAAGACACAAGTCTAGCCCTGACAGCATGGCACAGTGCCTGCACTACTCAGAGAGCAAATTGCCTAAGACTGCATTCACTGCAGATGGAGATGACAGGCAAAACAGGCAAAACAGTTATAACAACAAAGGTCATTTCTACCCCAGTCATGCCCCCTTTTAGCTTTGTTTTTGTCCAATAAACAGACACTTACCACATCCAGTAGCCAAGCAAAAACATAAACCTATTAAGAAATAATATTAATTCTCTACAAAGAAAATATGAAAACATGAGATTTATATTGGAAAAGATGACAAAAAAGCCAAGTACATCAGATCACCCAAATTTGCAATATCACACTTTTCTTCCTGTGCTCTTCCCTTGTTTCATAAAGACATCCCAAATTCAGCAGCTTACCTGATCTTGCAGAGACATAACAGGATTATTTTTGGTTGTATTGATATGCAGAACATGGTATTTGTTCTTCGCACAGAGATCATAGGCAATATTTGTGAAAGACGTGCTGGCAGTCTTGGGTACTCTGTTGTAAATAATCACCACATCATCTTCTTCATCCAGTGTCACATCTTGTCGGGGACCATCTACTGTATGACGTTGCTCTATTTCTCTGACTTCATGCCTTGCAATAGCCCTTTCTGTTAAAGAAGAAAAATATAAAATTTCACCATAAGTGTCACCAATTCTTAAGTTCAAACCTTAGAACACAATCTGGTGAAAAGCAGTAACTCCTTAGCAATAAACAAAACACTTCCTGTACTACGTATTTCTGACATACCTGAACAAAACTTCATCAATAAAAATGAATGAAACACAGTCCAACGAAAAACACAGTCTAGAAAACAATATGCTTAGGGAACACAGACCACAGTCTGTGACTCACACTGATGTCACTGTTTTTAGTGTCATCATCTCTAAAGGAAAGTCTGTAATGCACAATGAAAGTGGAGATATCCCTGAAATACCCCACATAATTTCTACAATACCCCAAAAGTTAAAAATTATAACGGAAGAAACAAACAATTTGAAGAATATGAGCTTTCCAGAAATAGCAGAAATACTAACACCAAGAGACCACAGCCAAGTGACTGTGCAGAAACACTGTCATTCAGATGAAACCACTGGCTTTTTATTTCATTTGATACAAGCCCCAAGAGTAAAGAATTACAATAATTGGGGTTGCAAAAATTCAATTAGCTTTATTAATTTGAAGTTTGACAAGAATAGAAACAAGAGGTGCTTACAAAACAGGTAACATTAAGGTGCGTGATCTCCAAATACTGAAATACATCAAATACATTAAAAAGAAAGAAACATGGAAAGGCAGGCTATGAACAACACATTTTAGCAGAGTATTTTACAAATAATCCACCTTTCCTTTTATACAAAGGGTAATACTCAAGAGTAATCGAACATTGCTTCAAGTGCTAAAAGGTTATTTGGAAAATAAAACTCACAGCTTTTGCTTTTTTTGTGCTGTGGAAGATCAAATATCACATGCTGATTGAGACTCAGGTTTTTTTCTGTTCCAGATATGTTACTTTAATATAATTTACAAGACAGATGTCAAAGCACTTTTTCTCATTCATTTATGGTGGTACTGCCTTTAATAATGTATTGTAAGAAATCTGCATTTGTCAACAGTGTAAGCTGAAGTTGTTATCACAAGAGTAACCTGTAATTCTGTGTATTATGTTCTTTTACAGGGTAGCTCTTTATGGATGACATGCTTTTAACAGCAGCAGCAGCTCTTGACCTTTACTTCCCTTGATTCTTTAGCCCAGCTCCTTCTATTCTCTTTCACCAAATCTCTTTATTTAATTATAACATAAATCACTTCTAAAGCAGAATCATCAAGCTGTGAATAGCCTACCCTGTAATTCTACGTAAATTGTCTTAAACCACAAACTTCCATCTGTCTGAAATGCTTCAAAGCTTAAACTCACTCACTCTCTCATATGCTCATATCTCACACCCCATAACTAAGTTACCTCAGTATGAAAATGTTTGTAGGAAATGCTTATTGAGAATATCTCAATTTTCCACATGACATCTGTTGCTCCCCACTACATCAGTCACAGTTTTTCCTCCTTCCTTTCTCATTTGCTACCTCTCCCATCAATGCTGGCAAACATCCTATTTTGGAAAGAGATGAGGCAACAGACTCAGGTTTCATCTCTCTGAAGATGGCTACAACAAAATGGGGCTGGCAACTGTCCCCTTCCTGCCAGTAATAGATTAGAGGAAGCATTTGGTAGGGAACATAGTTAACCATGTGGCTGCCCAAGGCTACATGGATACTGAATACCACCTAGAGAGGCTGAAATGAAACCAATTTAATTGGTATTTTCTACATCACAGTAGTAGATTTAAGCTAGATTTGAATCATAGCTGCACAGAACCCCAGGGCTGATAAAGGCTGGCTGGCACAGAGCTTCCTCTTTTACGTGAAAGAGAGAAACATTTGTGATGAAGAGACATGATTTGCAAGGGGATTGATGAGAAGTATTCCTCTAATGAGGTATTTTAAACCTTGATGATTCAAGAATTAGTGTGATAAGGGCACTTTAAAGACCATGCATAAGATATAAAAGCTGCATGATTGGATGCAATTAGCAGAAAGGCTATAGCATCCAACCACCTTCAGCTTCCCATGGCCAGGGGGAAAGCAAGAACTCAGGTAAGAAGCAGAAACTTCACAAGCCTGAAGTATACAGACTGTCCTATTATGAAAAAAAAGGAAGCTTCAAATTTCAAACTAAAACAAAAGCTGATCTTGGAGATGAAGCACTGAAATCACTTTTTTGAAATACTTGTAATAGCTAAAAAAACAAAAGCTTAAATGGAGCGAAGGATATAAACTGCTGAAGTGCAAGGGAAGTTGAAGTGAGAAGCAGAGGAAGCACCTGGAAACGTCTAACCTGCTCAGCCATTCTAAGGGCCTATTTCATTCTAGTCTATCAGTAATGCAGCAACAAAAATTTCAAGCTTTGTCGAAGTGCACACTTTTTCCCAGTCACAAACAGTCAGCAGCTTTTCCTGTGAAGTCAGGAAGCTCTTCTGATACTTACTGAAAAGTCAGTTTAACTCTTAAAATTATGGATATCAATTTTATTTATTGATAAGGTTGGTTAGTTAGTTTATTATTTGGAGAGGGGAAGAGGTCCAGTAATGGTAACATACAACTGAGAATAGTCTTTGGGACACCTAGGTAATCAAAAGTTAGAGAATTTGAAGAGTTCATGGGCATTTGATTAAATACTTCATTCGCTCTTCTATAAAATTTAAATAATCTTGGAAGTAGAAGCCCTGTAATGGCTGATAAATGGTTTATACTTACACATTTTTAGAGATATGGTAGAAAATGCAATGTATGCTTTAAAGACATTTTACATGTGGAAGACTGGGAGGAATATTTGCTAAATATATCATGTTTACCAAAAATCTCCTTAAGTGATACAACTGATTACAAGAATCTATCTACATAAGGTTGGACTGATTTCACTGAAAACAATTTTTAAAAATTTTAAAAATCAGGATGGGTGATTTCTTTCCTCTCAGAGATCCAGTGAACGAAATGTCCTACAGTCTCATTGCTTTCACTGCACTCTATTTAAACTTCGTGTTGTAGGAAAAACACCTATGCAAAATTATTAAGAACCAAATGCTTAAACAGGGTTAAGATCATACACTCTAAATTTCAAATTACATAACTACACCCACTTAAAAAGATATGCAGCATTTAGATAAGTGATACCTTTGAATACCAGACAGGTTTTCATAAAACTATAATACAGGATAATTTTAAGGCATAAGATATTCTGTCTCTCACTTGCTTATTATTGCTTGTTTAATTTCACTGTAATACACAATATAATTGCCATACTCTTGGGATAAACTCTGTTCTGTCAGCTGCAGTTGTCCTGCAAGCAAACTTTTACCAACTGCAAGGACAGTTTGCACGTAGGCAGTACCAATATGATCACTGTAATAACAGTTGCTGAACTGATTATTTACCAGCAGATGAGTTCCTTGCAGAAAGTCCTTAGCTGGCTGAAGTAGCTGCTTTGCAAACAGTAGAACAAGTTTGTTTTCTCACCTATTTGTCTACATGTTCTTCTAAATCTGCCTTCATCCTATTTCTGTAACTCTGTCTCTTGGCATGACTTACATTTCTTGAGCCATCCTCTTATAGTAATAAGCCATAAAATACCATAGCTAGCAACAAATTGGTTTGCCAGTCACATGCCACCACAAAATAACTTATAATGGGCAAGTTATGTCTTCTTCAGCAGAAGCACTAATATCAACATTTCATCCATACACCATCACTTCAAGGTCACTGCCCTTTCAAATCAAAGCAGTTTCTCAACAAGCTCAAAAGTTACTAACAAGAAACACTTGGGAGAGAAATGGATATACCAAGGATATCAACTAATAAAATCACCTGTGAAAATGCAGTGGACCGATACATACTTCTAAAAATATTTGAAAATCCAGCTGAACCATATTTATATAATTACAGAAACAAATTCACCAAAATGAAAATATTTAAATAATTACAGAAACAAATTACTGGGATCATAAGCAGTTATTAGTTTACATTCCTTGTACATTCAAACAGATGAATGTCTTAGGTAGAACAAGGTTATTAGCATTTACTTCAAATCCAAGTGTTAACTGCATAACTGCATACAAATATCTTCCCAAAGAAAATAGTGTGTCATGGATTTCAACAACCTGAAGATTAACAAAACCAAACATTTCAAATTCCTCACATTTTTCACAGAACCGTAAGAACCTCCTGGGATTTCTGAACAAAGCAATCTATCAAAATCAGAAATTTTCCTTTACCTCTAACTTAGCACTTACCACTTAATGAAAGACACATTTAGACCCTTGCGGCTGTCAAAATCAAGTTCAAGTAACTGGAAGAATAATTCAGAGGATACTGCTCTACTTGACCAAACCATGTTCTTTGTCCTCTACGTCTATTTTCCTTTCCTTGTATCTATCTACAGATATTATTTTGGCTCTCTCTTCAATATGTTTTGTGTGCCTGCCATGCTTCATTGTGAAAACTCCCACTCACATGAAGGAAGACTCAGTCTTAAAATAAATTTTAGCTCAGCAGCCTTCAAGTGCTGCCCAACAGAAGAAAAAGACATGGATTCAAACTTCAGTCACGCTGGCTCGATGTGAAGGAACTGGACAGCCAGTCTTGACAGCACCACCCCTGAGCACGCTGTGGCTGTGTATGCACACTGCAGGATGCCACGTTAAACCAATGAGCAGGTTTCTGCGAGTTGGGAACAGCACCGAAGCCAGCTGACTTGGTGTCTCAGCTTTCTTTCCACTCTGCTCCCAGGCCAGTTCGGCAAGCAGCTGGTGGCCTGAGGCACCGAGCAGCTCTCAAGCTGTTTCCCTGCCCAAAAGCTGCATTAAACACAACTGGCCTGAATACTGAACCCGAGCAGGACTGCAAACCTACTCACTATGAACTCCATAACCCTCTGATGAAGAATGAAAACTGAACACCACCTTAAAACTGAATTATAATCCTGTAGCAAAGTTAATGTTCTGAATCATTTTCAACACCCACCATATACACACAGCCTCCATCCATCACTGAAATGTG